AAAAAATTTAGCTCGAAAAATATTACGAATACTTAAAGAAAATGAATACGTGGTCATGGTTTGAGTCACTGTACACTGTGTATACATACGTATGTATTGTCATATGACTCTGCTCGCATTACATTCCCATTAGTTTTTATTTTATTTTATGTTATTTAATTCTTTTTATTTTTTTTTGTGTGCTAGGGTTCGGCATAAAAGCATTTGGCTTATAATTTCCAATGTGTGCTTTGCATAATAAATAAACTGAATTGAACTACTGAACGACCGCGTGGTGACGACAAAATTTGTTTATACAAAGTTCATTTTGCGCCTCTATTTATTTCATTTTTATTTTTACTTAAATTTATGTTTTTTTTATTCTGCTGTTTAGTAACCATTAAGTAAAAAGTCACGTTGTCGTGTAAACACACAATGCGATTCGTGTGCGTTCAAATTAATGCACCTCAACGAGCAGGGGAAAAAAAACGGCGAATGCAGATAACAGCAACACAATTGACAGACTTTGTATAATTTGCGCCAGCAGCAGTCATAACACAAGCAAAAGTGACTCAACAGTTGTGGGCTTTTTGGTTGATGTCGATGGGTGGAAGTAGGGTGACCAGACGTCCTGATTTATCAGGACATGTCTTGATTTCAGGGGCGAATTAAAGTGTCCTGACTGATTTTTACACAGCTGACCTTTTATAAAATTTTTACTGCGTTCACATAATAACATACCTGCAAAACTTGAATCACCGAAACTACAATACGCGTACAGAATTTTTCGATTATCTCTAACACATAAATATAGAACCACTGTGTCCAGGTACAACTGGTTATAAGAAATGCTATTAAGTCTTATCCTTAGCATCCTACCTATTGTACTTAAAGAAGGTGTTGAGCTTTTGTTGGCGACCTTGATAAAGATTTTCACAGCGCCGCTTGCACTTGCCTACATCCCACAACTCTCAATTCTTACCATTGAGCGTGTAAAAATAATTATTTAAAAACTCAAGTCTGATGGAAAGGAAAGTGATGCGCTAATTTGCAAAAATTTAATGTCCTGATTTTTCCTTCGATTCATCTGGTCACCCTAGGTGGAAGTGATAATGGCACGGCTGCGATGCCACTCTTGTTTTTTGTACGCTTATATTTATTTGTTAAAATTGCGGTAATAACTGCAAATGCGTTTGCAAATTAAAGCAAAAAAGGGCGGCGGTGCCAAGTTCATTGTCCGCACTCATCCACAGTTCTTTTTGTTTTGTTTTTAGTAATTTATTAGATGTGGTTATTTGCAGATTGCCGACTACCGATTGCAGGTGCAATATTTTTATTTTGTATGTGCCAACATTGGCTATTAAATTTTCTCACGGCTGCAATAGCTTTGTTATTCCCTGCTGGCGTGTAGTAGATGGTAAAAAAAGAAAACATAAATTAATATTATTCGTTCTTATTGTGGCCGTGTCGCACTTCTTGTGAGTTATGCTTATCCGAGTGTTCTTTTTATAAACAATTGCGCCTACAAATTTAACGAGCCTATGCCGAGAAGCAGTGTTCATAACTCAGAGATGCACTTGGTCGCTTCGTTTCACCATTTACCACATAGCGTATCATTAGTGGATACCAACCAGAAGTCAATTAAATTGTTTACATTTGCATTGCTTGGTGGCTTCGTCATTTGCATAGCTTTAAAAACATTATTCACTTAAATTTTTTGTTTACATAGGCTTGTCAGTCTGGCATTTACATATTTTGTTGTTGTTGTCGTTTAACAAAAAGTCTTATTTAACATAAATCAAGTTTACATTATTAATTCCCCTTACAACTTTTTTAAACCCATGGCGGCGCTGAAATGTAAAATATTTATTTACTTCCCACAGGAAAGTTTTCGCTTGGCGGAAGGTTAATTTCCACTTTTATACTTCAAATACTACTACTTTACAAATGCTATTAAAAAATTAGGTGCTTACATCCAGCCAGAATTAAAGCTTAGTTAGTTTAGACTTCATTTTCGTAACTTACACAACTCAAACTAATATTTTGGCCCAACTACCATATGAAATTGTCATAGCGGTAAGTCAAAACTTAACTGCACAGGCGAAACTTCCTGTATTCCACTAGGTTGGATTATGTTGCAGTGCCCGCCATTATTTAATTTTAACAAAAAAAAAAGTATCCTTTCTTAGGTAACTTACTTATAATCGAAAAAATGCGCATACAATATTCTATCTGGCAGCATTGTCTGCCCAGAGATATCTAATCGTTTTCAAATTCAAGAATCTAATATCAATCTCAGAAATCCTATAATGTTCGCTGAAGGTGTTCGCATAAGTCGCTATACTCGTACAACGAGCCGATAGCCAGAGTTATTCGCCTTTGTAACAAACACACTGCGTTAATTAATTTCAACGATAGCCGTTATTGTTTTAAATTAAGTTTATTCAAACTCTTTAACTAATCTAAATTTAATCATAGTCTGTAAGAAATTCTGTTTCATAGACTGAAATAAATCAATAAATATTAATTTCCGTTGAGCAAAAAAATACAAAAAAAATCATAAAATAATGATCAAATGCTAATTTAAATTACACCATTTACTCATAGCTTTTTGATTAAAAGCATTACAAGGACTTTAGTCAGCGTCTGCCATCTGTAGCCTCTTTAGTTTATCACTCATCGTTTCATCATTTTGTTTTCAACCACTGTGTCTTGTCTTGCAACAAAATCGTAAATACTTTACCAATCCCATTCAATTATTACAATTGAATCATTAAAAATTAAAAAAAAAACCTATAATTAATTAAGTGATAAGCAGTTTATTTGCATGCAAGTAGTGCAAAAATGCATATCAACCATGGAAAAATTTTTATGCCTGCATTTATGCATGTATCAGATGTCATGACTACTACTGCACTTGGGGCAAACGTGCTTGCAAGCCTGAAAAGTAACAAAGGTCCACTCAATCACTCATCGAGTTCGGATTAATCGCATGATTGTGTTTTGGTACGATTATGTGAATGTGCAAGTGTAGGTGCACTGCCGACAAGTGAATTAACATGAAAAGGAATATTAAATATTGAAATGAAAATAGAAATGAATAAATTAAAACATTTATATATATATATCTATACCTAGTATAAAGGAAAGTCGAGATTCGAGTCGAACAGATTTTGACGAGATTTTCTCTAACATACTCTGTATCGATAGGAGAGTGACCTTTTTTATATAAAGTTTTAATAGGGTTGCCACCTATCTAAAAACCATAAGATCCGCACCGTTCGTTGGATTGCAAAAAGTGAGGTGTCAAATGAAAGCGATTGATCTCTAGAAAATCGCCAATGTCTTTGAACAGGGTTGCCACCTGTTAAGAAAATTGCTATATAGGCATAGGCGTCAGTCCTGCACCGTCTCTGTCAAATGAAAAGGCTTAGCCTCTAGATGTGTAATAATGTATTATTTTTCTGATTAGGGTTGCCACCTGTTTAAAAACTATAAGATCTTCACCGTTCGTTGGATAAAAAAATGCGATAACAATTGAAAGTGCATGTTCTTCGCAAGTACAAAAACTTAAATTTTTGCGTAGAGCTGCCACCTATTTAAAATTACTATCTTCTATACATAGTATAAAGGAAAGGCGAGATATTTTGACCACGCTGCTGAACGGATTTAAAAAAAGATTTTTTAAGTATACATATAATATACGAAGTACCTGATGACATACGCCTCGCGCATCCGTGGCCGGTTAGTATACATATAAAAAGTATTTTTAGACGAAACCGGGTTTAAAGTAGGCAGTGCCACGTCTCCATTGATGTCCTTGTCTTCTCGGCTTATCTTTGCTTCATGGACACCTCCTTAAAGGACCATACAGTTTCGAGTAACGGTACCGTGATCTAGTACCCAAATAATCTTGAGTGTTTAGATGCGATCCAAAGTGAGGTTAGGCAAACGACAGCAGCATCCGCTAAAGCTGCTTAAAGAGCGCGCGAGATGAGTAGATTTCGTTAAATCTACGAATATCCTTCCGTTTGCCGATGGTCACTGAGCAACTGTAACCGACGCTTCCTTTAACCTTTCCTCCATGGGTGGGCTCTAAAATAANTGTAGATTTCGTTAAATCTACGATATCCTTCCGTTTGCCGATGGTCACTGAGCCCGTAACCGACGCTTCCTTTAACCTTTCCTCCATGGGTGGGCTCTAAAATAATTTACTGCCCGAACAGTGTGAACTGAGTGGAGGGTAATATGTGGAACCTGGATTTAGTGAATCTGTTCCTAAATGTCTGAAAGTTAGAGGACAAGGTTTGGCGGAGGAATATTCTGCGATCTACAGTTATTTATTAGCACAGGCTGCTGCCTTAAATTAGATACCTAATTGGTTTGCTTAGTAATAATATTTTGGCAAAGTGCTTAGCTGAGCTTTACCTCCAATGTGTGAAGTTAGTCCGGATTTTATATCATAAATGGGGTTTTGGATCGATGTGGTATCACAATGGTCCACTGACTGTACGTATGTAGGTATGCTATCTTCCTAAACGTTCAGCAAGCACTTCAACCTAACTTAACCTAATGAGAAAAAAGGCCCTCTTAATTTTTCTATATGTAGGTCGCTGAAGACTAGAATTATTTTCAAGGCGAATTCACATAAGGTGGTAGCGATTGTACAACAAAAATTGTCATGTGTTTTGTTCTTGCTTTTGATAAACGACTGTCAAATTTCAGCTTTTCTTCTCTCAAGGAAGTAGAGGGGAAGTAATACATACAATTATTCTTACTTTCTCACACACCCACTTTAGCGAAGTATAAAATTTTAATATATTTCTACCAAGACAAATTAAATAAGTTGTTCTAGCCACACCACCTTATATGAATTCGGTTTAATACCTTTCGAAATCGATTTGTACATCAATAGGTCGAGCTGTTAACTGTTATACAGTAGATCCCGGGTTAGAGGTTATATTTAGAATTTTGTACGCAAATATGAAGTTTCGATTTTTTTTCATTGCCGGACTTAAGTCAAAACTTATATAGCCAACGTAAGTCGTTCCACGTTGCTTAATTTTTTTATTTGGTTACACAGTGCTGTTATTTACTATGGAATCTCCGAGTATTATCATTTTAGAATTGTTTGAACATTTATATTTTTTTTGTGTATACCTAAATAATACCTAAAGTTAATTTAATTAATTTGGTATTTATTTTTTTCTCTTTTAGTTAAAGTAACTGGTACCCGTCTAATATTGCGCGGCGTCAGCGGCAGCTTCCGCAATGGTCAATTGTCGGCAATTATGGGCCCTTCCGGTGCGGGCAAGAGTAGTTTACTGAACGCTTTATCAGGTTTGCGGTAAGTATAAAGATTTGCATAAAGATTTGAATTGGCATGGGGAGGAAATATATTTATGTGTGTAAACCATATGTATGTTTATAATCAAAGAAGCTAAAAGAAGAAATTATCAGAGCTCACATTCAAATTCAAGGTCAATATAAAGCGGAGAAAAAAAACTATCAGCCAGATATGTATGTATCTGTGTATGTACGTACATATTTATGTACATATGTATGAATGAAGTCTTGTATATCTTGTAGTTTAGCACTTCCAAAATACATACATAAATTTGCAATTAGACAACACTATTTCTAGCATCACTTCAAAAAATATCAAACCGATATTTCTAGGTTCGCTTCGTTTACTTTTTATTTATTTATTTTTTGTTAGATAATTTTTACTTTATATTCGTTTTCGAATTACACTTTTGAGACGGGCTTTAAACTTCCGTCAAAGAACAATAAAACTTTATTGTTGATGACTTTTTTGCACAATCATGCATATACAGTGACTCAAACAAACGACCACGTGTTGATTTTTTTTTTTAATATTCGCAATATTTTTCAAGTACATTTTTTTGTTTTTTTTTCTATAGATATACCTTCCAAGCTTTAACCAAAAGTACATATATAAATCACAGTTTCAAACTTTATATAAAATTTGAGAAAATTTAAGAAGTTTTCATAAAAAATTCAAATTTTTAATCTGAATCTTTAGAATATTTGTGGGTATGCAGTTTTATAGCCCATACAATTTTAGTATAAAGAAGTGAGAGTTTCAACCGGCTAAAAAATCGTGGTGATTTTTGGGATTTTTTTTTCGAGGCTGCTTTTGCTTTTTTTTAATGTTCTAAACATGCAATTTAAAAAGTTGAAATTGTGATGAAAATCTGTTGGGTTTTCCTAAATTTTGTATAACCAAAGTTTGAAACTGTGATTTATATGGTTTTTTTATAAAAAAAAAATAACAAACAAATCTTGCTCAAAAAACATTACGAATATTAAAAAAAAAAAACAAATCAACCCGTGGTAATTTGTTTGAGTCACTGTAACTTAAATATATACATACATATGTACCTACCCTCTGTACATATGCAAATGTACATACTCGTATGTATGTATGTATGTACTTACTTAAAAAATAACTGGTTTTATACATTTAATATTTAACTTCACGCTGCTCGAAGGTTCCATGCAAAAGATTAATTTTGGCAATAAATGCGAGGTAATAGTTTCATTTTAATAAAATGTGTGTATGTTTGTATATAGTTCTGTAACTTCTCAAAGAAACACGAACAGTGAAGCATGGATGTATTTAATACATAATAATTTTTTATTATACGCGCATGTTTTGATTATGCCACCATTTTTTAATGAAATTTTGATGTGTGGCTTGGGGTTCCGTACTCTTCTCAGCACCTCTTTCTCATCTACTCTTCTTTTGCGATGTTAAGATTCAGGCATCTAATCTTGGCTCTTAATTTCTACGTAAATCTAGGTTTTCAGCTATACATACATATTAGGGTGTCTTGCCAAAAAAGTTGTAGGTTTTCTACCGGAATTATAAAAATTATTTTATTCTTATACCCAAATTCATAAAAAATAATGAGGACTTTAAATGCTTATTAATTCGAAAATTTTTATGAAAATTCCACTTTATATAGCTCTTTAAACTATTTTATTTTTTATGAATTAGACCATAAGGCTGTCGTAAAAATCGGAAATTTCGGAAACGTATAAAGATTTACGTGAGCTGTACCGATTCAAAAACACCTCCGGGGATAAAATTTTTAATACCCGAGCGCATTTGTGCACAAGGCTATTATAACTTTGTTCATATAACGGTTGTTTTTAACAGCCTAAAGAAATTGAGATACATAGATATATATATATATACAATATATACATAAGTGCTCGGAAAGAAAAGATAACTTGATTAGGCCGTGACTGTCTGTCCGTCCGCTTGTCCCTCTGTGTACACGATGACTCGTGTACTTCTTTTTAATGTAGGAAAATGGGTCAAATCACATAATAACCACGCCTACCTTCCATGCACATACATAATGTTAGTTGACGAAAATACAAAAACTGCGATATTTTAGTAAATGGATATTTACAATGACCTTTTGGCGGAAAATAAGAATATTACAATTTTTTGGAAAATGGGCGGTGGGCCCCCCTACTTATGATTGCATGTAAAATCTCGGTAGCCTCTTCACCAATTTCTGTCAAACTTGCCACAATTGTTGGTCTTGAAAGCCTTACCCAATTTCATTTAAGTGTCCTAATCTTAACACATCTTGAAATTCCTACCAACTTCCTAATTTTCTTCTCCTTCTCTCAGCACCTCCGACGTTAGTGGACACATAAAAATCGAACGCAAAGGTTCCTGCTACATCACACAAGATGACAATCATCAAACCCTACTTACCGTTGAGGAACTCATGGAGCTTAGTTGCAATCTCAAGTTACCGCATTGCAAATGTAAAGCTGAGCTGATAACAGAGATACTCGAGAATCTCAATCTAAATCATAGACGTAATATTTTTGCGGAAAAATTGAGTGGCGGCGAACGTAAACGCCTCTCGATCGCACTCGAATTGGTGGCCAATCCAAAGATATTTTTCCTCGATGAACCCACCAGCGGTCTGGATGAGGTGACAGCGGCGCAATGCATTCGGTTACTTAGCCAATTAGCTAAACAAGGACGCACCATCGTCTGTACAATACACCAACCGTCGGCGACGATTTTCAATTATTTTGATAGCATTTTTGTGCTGGCCAGTGGACAGTGCGTCTATCAGGGACCACCATCGGCAGTCATACCATTTTTACGTCACGTACATATCGAATGCCCCAAGTATTATAGTCCATCGGATTACAGTGAGTTTGTGTGATGTATTGAGCAGGGTTGCATTTTAATCAAACTTTGTTTAATTTTCTTTCAGTTATCGAGCTCTGCGATGCGGACGAAGGTAAACTCATACCCTTGCTTAGCGATCTCACTGGCAATGGCAAGTGGATTTATGCACCAGTGCAGCAACAACAAAATGGTCTAAATGGTGTAAGCGAAGTAAACGGCGGTGAACCCACGCCCGTTTCAAAGCCACATTCCAAAGACTTTCAGCAGTCGGTGCGTACTTTCTTCGTGGAGGAACCAAAACGTAGTCGCTTACAACATTGGCTCGCTGCCGGCACGAATTTTTCTACCGATGGTACGCTGATTGGTGGCGTGACCGCATTCTATGAGCAGGTGAAAACCTTCACCAAGTTGCTGGATCATGAGAGTGAGCACTCTTCGGGCTTCCACCAGTTCTCTGTGCTCTTAAAAATGATGCTGAAGCGTACAATGCGTAGCCACGTTATTTTACTTATACAATTTTTGCACCATCTTCTAACGGCATTGTGCTTTGGTAGGTGGCGTAATGGAGTTTTGTTTCAAAAGGCAATATATGAAATATTTTTTACTTTATATTTAGGTTTGATTTTCTTAAATCTTGGTAATCAGGGCTCGCGCATGTTTGACCATTTGAAATTCTGCATTGGCGTTATTATAATCATCGCATATACACAAGTCATGCTGCCCATATTGAGCTGTAAGTACAATTAGAGTACAGTAAAACCCGTTTATAATTATTTTTTTGTTTATCTTTCCATTTAGTTCCCATGGAAATAAAAATCGTACGAAAGGAGACTTTCAATCGTTGGTATAAGTTAACTCCATATTATATGGCCTTGAATATATCACGGTTGCCCTTGCAAGTAACTAACATACATATCTACTTGTAATTATAGTAACTATCGGGCATAAAGCTAAAATGTATATTTAATTATTTTAGATCTTTTTGAATATGATAATGCTGACAATTATTTATTGGATGAGTGGATTGCCGGCTCAATGGTGGCGTTTTGGCTTATTTGCCAGTATTGGTTTAATGACATCGCTAATTGCAGAGGGCATGGGATTGGCAATTGGAATGACATTTAGCATAACGGTAAGTGTCCACAATTTGAGTGGAGAAGCTTAAAAAACAAATTTAATATATAAGATGGAGCATCACACATGTGATATAAAATATATGTATGTTGATGTTGATTCGTTTTTTACGACTGGGTGGTAAGATGATTTATTTTGGAACGAATTTCAAGAGCGAAAAATGACACGGAAGGTGATACAATGCCGAAACCCGTTTATCTCCAAACCAAACTTTACAAGGGCTGACGGTTACCTCTCCGAACTTTTTCGTGCCTTTACTGCATGAAGCCTAACACTCTCCTTTGGAGAAGTTGATATATGTTCGGTGCTCCGCGGAAGCAAAGTTGGTTGGTTTATCGATCGAGATGACTATGGGCAGATGGTCTGATACCAAAGTCAGCATAGGTCGCCATGATATGCTGTTTATCAGACCAACGCTGACTATTGTTATGTCTGGCGATCTGCAGTGGCTGCCCATAATCCTGGTGGGTGCGTCGTTGTTCATTGTGCAGAATGTCGAATCGTTGCCTGACCGGATAGCAATGCCTTGACATTCTAGGGTGGTATCCCTGCGGTCGATGTCTGCTTCGATAAGATGATACTGCACGGTGTGGTGCGTGATGAACGCTAAGCCAAATGCACGTTGTACCCGGCACAATTCATTAATGTTGAATTGCTGTGCAACTACCATGCCTTCCCATAAAGACGGTTATCTCCCCGATCTTGCTCTGGAGCATGTTGCAGTTAAATTGAAGGAGCTTCATGTGGTTCGGAAGACGTGTGGTAATGCGTGGTGTGAGAGATGTGTGTGGCCGTGGCGCCATTGGCTGTGTGCGCTGCTCAGGTGGTTGTCGCCCTGTGGTGGTGGTGGGTGGCGTCGCGGTTGAGGTTTGCGACCGTGCTGCGCAACACGGGCCCTCGACGTTCCTCGTCCAATCTAGCGTGGTGCGCAGACCTGAACATGCCCTAAAGTGGCACCAGCCAAGGCAGGTGTTGCACTTGACTGATGTCACATTACGGAATATCCTGGTCTGACATACCGTGCAGATTGTAGGAGGAACCAGGAGTTGTTGGCGGCGGCGTGCGGGTGGTGGTGCGGTTGTGTGTGTTCTGTGGTCTGTCGCGGTTGTGGTGTGGTCTATTGTGTTGTTATGTTGTTGTGCTGTGGTTTTTGTGTGGGACTGCTCAGGTGGACTGGGGTTAGCCGTGGAGGCTGCTCTGTTTGAGCAGCAGGGGGCCACAAACGACGTGCCGATGTGTTCGTAGTCCTGAGAAGACTGAGGCGACTCCACCCCTCGCAAGCATTGCACTTGACTGAGGTGGAGTTGTGGTGTAGTCGTCTCTGGCATACACAGCAGGTGTAGGTTTCTGACCCTGGGTTTGACTCGATGCCAGCCGAGAGTAAAAGAAAACGTAGCGAATGCAGCCCTATGCACGAACAACTTCTGAGATACTTCGCCGACCTAAACGGGTCCCGAGTCATTCCGGTACGTAGAACCGGCTGTCGTGGGAACGGCGAATTGGGAGTGATCCCTTTTTCTGAATGCGCGTTTTCTAAATTATTCTCGTCGCCAATTTAGTTATTAGTTATTAGTTATAAAAAATCGAATTTACAGAGGAAAATTGTTTATTATTTTGCAAGAGAATAAAAGGTAATTTTTGCGTCAGAAAAATAATTTGACAAAAAGCGTAGTTTTAAAAAAAATGAAATTCAAAGCAAAGCAATTAATTAATTCTCGAATCAATTTATCCATTTATAACAATATCGACACCTGAACGCAATTAAGAAGTAAAATTTAAGAAAATAATTTCAACAGGACTAAACTAATGCTGGATTTCCACTAGGCATTAAATGGCAAAAATGACGAATGACAAAGTCGGGCATTAAAAAATAACCGTGTCACTACATTCAAAAATAATCATTAAGTTCATTTCCACATGGCATTTTTTTAAATGATATAAATTTTTTGTCATTTCAGTGCCTAGTGGAAATTCGGCATAACTAATAATAAGTTAACAGGGCCAAACCTTAGTTTATACTCGTGAAAATTAGATCAGGAAATTGAAAAAATAAATCCTACTAATATTTTATTTATTTTTTCATAGAATGGCAGCGCTGTTGGCCCACTGGCGATTGCTCCACTGCTAGGCTTGGCTATATATGGATTTGATTTTGCCGCACAAATCCCATACGGAATGAATCTTCTCATGAAATTCAGTTATGTACGGGTCGGTGTAGTGGCGTTGATACTCTCTGTTTTTGGCTTTGATCGTCCCGAATTAGAATGTGACGATATATATTGCCATTTCGGTGATCCGCGAGTGCTGCTCAAGTTTCTGGACATTGAACACCTATCGATGTGGTACCTCTTCTCGATACTCACAGTACTTATGCTCTTCTATAGAGTGCTAATGTATTTGAGTTTACGCAGACGTTGCGGTACATAAGCGATATTATTTTGTAAATGTGATTTTTAGTATTAAGTGGTAAAGTTAAGGTCAATTAAATAAAAATAAACAATGGTTTCATGGTGGATGTTAGTTGCTGCATAATCAGAAGTTCATGCACATACATAATATAATAATAATAGGCAATCTTATGCTGTGATAAATGATATGTTAATAGTGTACAATTTTTTACTTTATACGTGTAGTAATCTAATTGCAAGCAAACAAATACCCCTCTTATTCCAAAATTTTTACAAATTACATACCTAATAAGTGGCTTTGTAATTAAATTGTATGTAAAATTTTGTTACGATCGGAAAAGAACATATTGTTATGAGATAAGTAGGTACATAATCAAAGATATTCCACATATTTTAAGATGTACAAACTATTTTATAAAAAAGATGTTCTTGCGAACAATTAAATTTTTGGTATTTCTAAAAAAATAAACCCTGTTTTTATTTCACTTACATTACTTTATTATTTTTTTTTTGTCTTCTAATTTCATTTAGAATGTTAAACTTACTATTCTAAAAACATATAAATAAAACTATTTAAAAATTACACTTTATGCCTCATTTGCGCGTACTCGCCAACTTTTCTTTGCGTTTTTTGACATGCTTTTTCACTTTCACTTTGCGCTTTTCTGCCTTTGCCTCTTTGACAGCCTTCTTCCGTGCTTTTTTACTATTAGGAGATTCATCGCGTGGACGTGCTGACTTCACAAAACTTGTGTTACCCTCAGCCTCAGAATCTTCCTCATCATCACTTGAGCCAGTAGAACCGCCGACTATTTGACCTGCATTTTCCGCAATATTTTCTTTATCTTGCAAATTTTTTAGATTCTCATCTTCTATTGTTTCAGCCTGTACAAGAATATCTGGCTTTTTCTGCACATTTAGCTCAGCATTTAAGCCAGTGATTTTGCCATAGATAAGATCTTGTTTCACGCCTTTTTTCGCCTTATCCACGTCGCGTTCAAAGTGTCGCACCTAAGAAATGTTAAAATATTAACGGCATTTTGTATATTACGTTGCAATCAACTTACCTCATCTAGACGTTTTGGTATATACGTGTTCTGCCAAACAGCTTCATCGATTTTTTCTTGCGCCGTAATTGCCTCAAAGTCCCGATCTTTAATCTGTTCAGAAATACGCTCTAGGCATGCCTCCATGTTTTCTTCAGTAATCGATTGATCTGTAATAAAGTCGAATAGCTCCTTCACTGTCATTGTGGCCACTGAACGTTTTCGAAAAAAGTCTGATATGTTTGCACAATCTTTGCGCAAGAAGTCGAAAGCATGCGGATGATCGTGCTCTACTGACTGACTCACATCGATAATTATTAGCTGGCCGTCTTGCAGTAATATATTGAATTCTGATAAGTCTGCGTGCACTAATTTGCATTTGTTATAAATACGCCACATAAGCACCACGCATTCGCGGTACAATTCACGCGCCTTTGATGTGGTCAATTCAACGTCTTTCAATTTCGGTGAGGGCCAACCATTTTTGCCACAAAAACGCATCACCAACACATGTGAGCGCAGCAGCAGTGGTTCGGGCACAGGCACACCAGCATTATGCATACGCAGATAGTTACGCATCTCTTTCTCTGCCCAGGTGCGTACCATTTTGCGTGGATTGTGGCGGCAGTAGCCGTGACGGAAACGAAATTCACCTGACACATACTTGTCACGATCTTTAAAAATCAGTATGGACGTTTTATAGATTTTTATAGCATACTCGTCGCCATCCTTCGAGACAGCGTGATAAACATTTGCTTCCTTGCCAGTTGAGATGCAGCCATTGATTTCTTGTATGAAACCACGATTTAAAAGTTTGAACAGTATCATGCGCGTTCGAGGATCCATCACTTGTTCGGCAGTGGCGCGGTCATGCTTATCACGTACGCGAACACGTTCTTGGCGGCGATCAAATGTAACTAATTTATTGGCGGCCTGCGCACTCATATTTGCGTTAGGATCGTATTTTTCTACATTTATACGTGCGGAGTAACGTCGCAGTAGTTTTTCATTTGGTTGAAAGCTGTTCAAACGCTTTGCTTGCGAAGCACTACTTGCACTTGCGGTGCCCGCAGATCCGCCAGCAGTGTGGTTGAGTGAAATTTGAGCCGTTTGACCATTGTGCTTTTGGTAGCCTGTGTACGATTCTTCATAGTCATATGTGTCGTCACTGTCTTCGTGGTAGTCATAGTCATCATCGTCATCCTCATTCTGCTCTTCCGGACTTTGGTCATCACTTTTTTGGTTTAAGTCGTCGTTTTGTGCAACATCCTCTTTGATGTCCTTAAACGTGACTTGTTTCAATGTCATCTTGTTAAAGTTATTTACCAAATTATTCTGAATATGATAAAATGATTAATAAATAGTTTACAAAACCAACTTATTTTTTTGACAAAGATTGTGAAATAGTCCAAGCCAATTGGTTAAAAGGCAACGCCTTTAGCACATACCTTGTAGGGTATTTCCTCGTCCTCCTCAGCATCACTAAACTGGTGTGAATCCGATTCGGTCATTGCTAAATCAATCTTTAACTTTTCTTGGTAGGTAAAAAAATTACTAAATTAAAATTAAACTAAACAATTGGAGAAATCTACACGTGCTGCTGCTTGGCAGCGTTTAGCTAGAATTTTTCAATGAACTGCTTCTTAAATACTTATCATTCACAATCGATTTGTTGTGAAATTTAGATTCCATAAGGTGGTGCGAAATGGTTACGTTAACGTTACAGCACATCATGAAATTGATACACTCGAAGAAATGTGATCATTCGAAATAATAGAAACGGATGCATAGAAACGTATGACTACTTTATTGGGTACTTCGTTACCCTGCATGTGGATGTAGAGAAAAAACTTTGCAAGAGTTCACTAAAATCGATTCCACAATGGTTTACAATACGTAACATAACGCACATGGACTAACGTTTTTTGTGTTACTTTTTTCAACGATGTTTTAAGAGGTTCTATCCAGTTCTTCATTATTTTATTGCTTTGCTGTGAGTCTGCGCTGGTAATAAAAATTTTGTCATCTTATAAACTGGTAACAAAGTATTGCCCAGTGAAATATGCAATGCCAGAAATTTCCATAATTATTCATAGCTGAATTTTAACTGCATTACCAACGTACCTAGAATCGCGGTGACAAGAAGTGGCAACATTTTTTGGTAATGAAACTTTCCGGTTTCAAAATCATCGGTAACGTGCAGAAACGTTTTGTTATATTCCACGTAATTTCACGTAATGGAAACTTACGATGTATGACCAAGATATCTACAGGAACAAAGGGTGGCATTATTGGTTGTCTTTTAATTCGCATTTGTTTACTTTGAATAATCAAAACAAAACAGCGAATGATGCTCAGATCAGCTGTTTGTATCACGCTGAAAATCACAATAGATTACAATGGAATGTGAGTTTCAAGTAAAATGTTTGCCATTCTTTGTTAATAAATAAAAGTATTTTACATCCGTCTTTAAAATCACAAAGTGATATTCAAATGTTTGTGCTTGCTGAATTGAAAGATACCATTCGTATAGCGCCAGATCAATTTCATTTGAAATTGGTTGAAGCGATACGAGACGAAATCAACAGGAAGTTGGCCAATAAGGTAAACTAAAAATGACATATGAAGAGTTTTTGATGTTTCCACCATCAAGTAAATTGCAGGTTCTGTTGAATCTAGGCCTCTGCATTGCGCTCAAAGACATCGTATCGCTCAAAGATTCCATTATACTGCCTGGCGATGGCGCTTCACATACCGAAGTTCTCTTCCGCTACATCGTCTTTCGGCCAACTATTGGCAGCATACTTACAGGCAAAATACGTAGCTGTAGTCGAGAAGGTGTGCATGTAACACTTGGTTTCTTTGATGATATACTCATACCACCATCCGCTTTACAACATCCTTCACGTTTTGAAGAAGCCGAACAAGCCTGGGTATGGGAATACCCTTTGGAAGATGGTGCTAAGCACGATTTATTCATGGATATAGGTGAACCGATAAAATTTCGTGTATCACGTGAAATTTTCGAAGAAAGCTCACCAATAGGTCCTCCTAAAACAGATGCTCAGCAAGCAAGCACATCGGCAGCGGCTTCGGCAGCGGCGGCAGCGTCAACACAGCAATCTGAAGTAAAGACCCCTTATAGAATTATTGTAAGTGGAAAAATGGTACGCTCACAATTTTAAGAATGTTTATGAACTCCTCTTTCAGGCTGCCATTAATGAATCTGGATTAGGCGTGCTATCTTGGTGGGATCAACAAACTCAGGGTGGTGATGAGGGTGACGAAAACGAAGATGAGGATAATGTGGAATATGAAAATGACGAAGATGGCGAGGGTGCTTATGAGGAATGAAATAAATGTTTTATTTTACCAGCCAAATTATAATTTATTATTGTTCTTTGTACAAGTCGGAAAAAGAAATTCAATGATGATAAACACTCCCCTTGAAAGCAGAAGGCGCGGGAGTGATAATTATATGAACTCTTGCTTAAGCCAGTGAACGGAAGTAACGGCCACAATGCCCAAGTTCTGAAGCTGAGCTGTGGATATGTTTTTTGTTCGTCAAATCAAGGGCTAACGAAAGGTCATTAACAGCAGTCAGCTGAAACACGCGCTCACGCTAGAGCAATTCTTTAATAACTTAATTCGCATGTACTAAGAACATTTTCTTTGGCAATCTTCTTTCAAAGGTTTCGACTTGTGAATTTGTTTACACTCCTTTTGCAAAAACTTAATGCTATGACGAATAAACTCGTTCAACTTAGCCCGTAAATCACTCCCTACATGAAAACAATTTTTATTACAGTTATTTTCCACTTTAAAGTATTTTATTTTCAATTTGCATATCAATTGTGTTCTTTGCATGCGTTTGTTTACTTCTGTAGAGATAATTTCTATTTTAGCATCTTGTTTTAACAAACTATTTTCCATTTTAAATTTATCACTTACTTTAGAAACAGATTTTATTTTCAATACTTGCATTAACCCGCTTCCTTTTGATTTTTCTCCATTTAAATTGCATATTTAATTAGGGATTGAATTGTATTTTTCTTGCAGAGGGTAGTTTCTACTTATCGCTTTTTATTAATTGTACAATGTATCTTAAAATTTCCATTTTGCAAGTTTACCGTTTTTTTTTATGTAAATTTTGTTTCACTCACAATTATGTATTTTTTCCTTTAAATTGAAGTTTCATACTTTGTTTAATGTTAAATTAACAACTAGCTTAGTAGACTTAGAATTAAAATATAAATTTTAGTGAAAAGATTTAAATTTAATATGAGGTGTTAAATTATATTATGCTTAAAAGAAATTTTGCACTTGTCTTAGCCTTTGTATGTATTGCACATTTGGTTTTTTTTGGAACAATCAAAATAATGTTTTTTTTGTTTTAATTTTATGGGT